GTAGGGGTAGGACATGGGGCAATGGCCTGAAACTGCAAGAGGGTAGACTTAGGTTAGCTCTAAGGAAGAAATTCTTCCCCATGAGAGCGGTGAAGCACTGGCACAGGTTGCCCAAAGAGTTTGTAGTTGCCCCATCCCTGGAAGGGTTCAAGGCCAGGTTGGACGGGGCTTGGAGCAACCTGGGCTGGTGGGAGAGAGGTGTCCCTGCCCACAGTAGGGGCTTGGAACTAGATGATCTTCAAGGTCCCTTCCAACCTGAACCAGTCTGTGATTCTATGACTTCACTCCCAAGAAGGGAAGGACACCACTATTTCACGATTGCTCCTGGCCGAAGGTCCACCCCAGTCGCACAGCACGGGCAACTCCCCACGGCTTCAGAACAGCCACTAAGACTCCAGACTGGCAGAGTTAAGATAATCAGCTTTGTAAACCCTGAGTAATTAACCTCGAAAAATTCTGCACGCCTGGGGCAGCTTCCACGCTCATTTATTCCGCAGGAACCACTTAGTGCTGAGATACTCTCTCAGTTGCCCTGCTGAGCCCATAGATACGTGTAACTGTGTGAGAGCTGCACGAAGCCTGTTTCACCTTGAAATAATCCCCGAAGGACCAGGAGCCCAGCATCTCGAAGAAGGTGTGGTGGTACACATCCTTCCCCACATCATCCAGGTCGTTGTGCTTGCCCCCTGCTCTGATGCACTTCTGAGTGTTGGTGGCTCTGCTGAGTTTAGCGAAGGGGTGCGACGGGTCGATGGTGTTGAGGAAGATGGGTTTGAACTGAAAGGGTAAAAGAAAGGATAGATATAAAATAAAAACAAGAGCGAAAGCTGCCTGCTGATCTCCCTCTCTGCAGCCTGGCCTCAAAAACTACTACTTCAAAGGCTCTAATAGCTGTGCCAGGACTCGCTGCGGTCCAAAGGGTCAAAGAAGGGAGACTGGCAACGCTCCCATCGCCGCACCGTCAGCCCAGCGGGCACAAGGACCTCTTCCAGGGCTCTCGCCAATTCTGCATGAGCGCAGAGGGCTGCAGCCAACACATCACACCACCTCTTCACAACCAGAGGGAAGATGAGAGGAAATAACAATAATTTTCTAAGCTCTGCAAACGGCTTCCCAGGTTTCAGTAGCTACAGGGCTGTAGAATCTCACCTGATTCATACCAGCGTTGGCAAAGAGCAGCGTGGGGTCATCCAGGGGGATTGTAGAAGACGAGTGCACATAGGTATGCTTGTTTGCCTTGAAGAAGTCAATGAAGCGCTGCCGGATCTCGCTGGCTGTGAGCGTGGCTTCCATCTCGAAGCTGCGGAAGGGAAAGCGGCAACGCCTCGGTGCAGTCTGAAGGAATGACAACAAACAAGGCGCTTAACGTGTCGTCAGCTCAATCACTGACATCGGAATCGCTGCCTCCACCTCTCCAAAGGGTTTCTGTCGGATAAGCCCTCTCACCGACTCCTCAGTTCAACCATCACCCTGCCCCAAAGAGCGCCGGCTCCGAATTTTCTTCTTCCCCAACCTTCTAGAGTTCTCCTTTTTCTTTGAAAATGTGGCTCTAAAACAACCCATTCACCCGACCACATTGCTTAGTAAGAGCTTGTGTTTGCCTTGCTGGAGACAAAACAATTCAAGGTGATTAAATATTGCAGGGTCATAGAACGTCCGAGTTTGGAAATAACCTCGTCTGCCCCTGCTGCTCAAAGCAGGGTCACAAGCCCAGGGATGCCTGGAAACCTGTCCCGAGAGGAACAGCACCATCCTAACAGGGACGTAAAGCGACCCCTGCCAACAGAGGTGCAGAGGGACAACAATTCTGTCCCACGAATAAGCCAGCCAGGTGTTGGAGGAGGGAGGGAAGGGCTCCAGGAGGGAAAGAAGGAAGAAAAAGGGGGCCCAGGAAGGAAAAGGGGGAGGCTGGGAAGGAAA